GTGCTGAAAGGTGTCAGGAGCATTGCAAAGGACGAAAGGCATCACCACAAACTCGTACAGACCGTACCTGGTCTTAAATGCGGTTTTGTGTTGATCCTCGGGCCGGATTGCAATCTGACGGTACCCGGACTTTAGATCTATCTTACTGAAGTACCGACACCCTTGCACTCGGTCCAACAAGTCATCGATGTGTGGTAGGGGCTCAACGTTCTTCACTGTGATGGCATTGAGGCCCCTATAGTCAATGCACATCCTCAAGGTCCCTCCCTTCTATGGTACAAATAGTACAGGAGATCCGTAAGGGTAAACACTAGGCCGGATCCACCCCTTCTTTATGAGATCCTTGGGTTGCCGGCGAAGCTCATCGAGCTCACGTGGAGACACCCTATAGATCCTACCTTTCAGAATGCTAGACCCTGAGATAATCTCTATCGCATGGACGACCTCCCTCTCAACAACCCCTTTCGACTCTTCGAATAGATCAGGGTATTTACCGACCACTCCCTCTATCTCTGGAGGTGTTTTCACTGGTTCACCCTCTGTAGAGACGTAAACTAGGAGTATACCCTCCTTCGGATTTTGCCTATAATAATTATAAAACGCAGTCGCACACATGCATCCGTAGGACTCGATCAGACTACTAGCCTTAAACTTACGTAATCTGGCGGTCTCTCCTCTGGGCAAAGTGTGTTTGGCCACTATTCGGTCCGAGTGAAACTGGGGCTGTGCAACCGAGAGGTAATACATACCTAATAAGATGTCCATAGGGAGATCGTCGCTGACTAGGAACGACACTCGATGTCTCAGTTCCCCTCCCGCGTATGGGAAAAACACTCAATGTCTTTAACGTAGTCATTGACTGCCATGCGTTGTTTGTTTGCACATGTCGACTCCACAGGTCGACTCAGGCGTTGCACTTGCCCCTGTAAGCGCAACCTCTCAACCCACGTGCGACTAATGAAGTTCCGCGTCGAGCAAGTGTCATAATAGGCCCCGGCCTTGCCGCCGCCGACTCAGGCGTTGCACTTGCCCTTGTAAGCGCAGCCTCTCAACGCACGCGCGACTAATGAAGTTCCGCGTCGAGCGAGTGACATAATAGGCCCCGGCCTTGCGGCCGTCGATGACTACCTCGCCGACGAACAACTCACCCTTAGGGGCTTTGGCCATTGCCGTCCAAGAAGCTAGTGGGTCCGATCTAGACCACTCCTCCTCTAGCTCCTCTAAGGACTCAAACACATTCAACGAGCAAAGGATCGCTGGGTCCGAATGTGTTTGCGGGACGACGATGGAGTCAGTAGCTTGGGCCATCTCTCGAGATGGTGAGGGTGTGTCCACCACCTCGACCCTAGCAGGAACAACTCATATTCCTACTAGCCCGACGCGTTTCCCGGAGCAGTGCCCGAACTGCTGGCCACATTGCTACCTACGGGAGCGGAGGATCCCAACGCCTGCCCCATCGTAGGCGGGATCTTCTCGGTCACCTTCTTATTGCGGCACTTCAATTGATTGTGGCCATATTGACCACAACGAATACAGGCCTGCCTGGTATATCGGTCTCTCCACATGTCCTCTGTGAGACCCGCTTTCTCCCATGGAGGAACGTTAGGGTCAACTTGACTCCTAGACCGGGAACCTCCATGGCGTCTACCGGTCGCCTTACCTTTTTGGATAGAGGCAACGACTGTTCCACCCCCTAAAACTTCTACGCTGCCCGCCTCTGAACCCGCTCCCACCTGGAAGTTGTCTTCTAGCTCGATGGTAGAACCATCGTTGTTGGCGAACATTATGCGGCCTTTCGCCTTCCAGTTGGGAGGCAGTGCCTTTTTTCTACCGTTCGTCGTGGGTGTATGTCCATGCCCTATCTTTACCTCTAGGTCTAGGGCCTTCTTGCTGAACGAGGGAAAGTTGTGCATGTTGATGTTGGCCTCACCTGCCAACTGATTCCTGAGAGACATAGGAAAACATCTCAGGTGAGTAAAACCTGGGGGTCGTAGCGTACTCCAGGAACACAGAGCAGGCGCTCTACTGCGTCTGTGGCCTCCCTTACTGACTTGAACTGTTTGTTATTCAAAGTCAGGATCACATCAGTGGCCTTTTCAGCCTCCAGAGGATCATGCCACCTTTCTTCCACCAGCTTAAGGAAGTCAACCATCCAGTTTCTGGTTGACTGCTGAAGAGCGGAAGTCGTGACCGTATCCCTGTAGCTGCACTAAACCACTCAACCATCTTGCTGCACTCCCCTCTAAATAGGAGGCAGCCACAAGCACTTCTTCGTGCGGCAAGGTCAGTTTACACTTGACATAGACTGGCAGTGACCTCAACCATGTGTCGAGGTCTTCGCCCCTCTTGTCCCCTGAAAAGGGTTTGGGGGAGGCGATGGCCGTCTTCGGGACCCATTGGCTTTGTCCCGGTACCTGTCCCACACCAGGCTGTGGACCTTGGGGACCAGGCTGCTGCACTAGCTGCTGCCGGGGCTGTGTACCCTACAGCTGTGCAGGCTGCGAGACAGCAGGCTGCCCGGTTACGGCAACCTGCAACGGAGGTTGGGAATACACTGACTGTACAGGAACCTGTACACTAGCACCTGCTGAGAACCCTCATGTCAATGGCCTACTCAGGGAAGCGGACGGTACCGACGCTGGAGCTATGTATGGGGATACCCCAGTCACCGGTGGGACAAAAGGAGGAGGATGTACAACGTGTCAGGCACGGGGCCCGGATGGCGATGGAGCTGCCTGCGCCCGTCCAACCAATACAGACAGACTCTGTTGGATGTATTGTAAGAGAGTCGTCTTGTGGTCCTGCATTTCTACTACATCTAGCAGGACGGTTTGTAGGGTCCTCACATTATCATCCATGTGTGTCAGATCCATCTCCTCTAACTCACTAACGTCCGCTTGTCTGCGCTGTATCGTGGCTCTTCTTCTAATCATTCTCTCCATCTCTGCTAACGCCTGCTGTAGCTGTGCCTCGCGAATAGCTGCTCGCTGTACGGCGACCTCCTCGGGGGTCAACACTATCGGCTGGCTTGCCATAACGCCAGTGGATTGAGTCAGGGTCTGTGCGGCCGTTGACCCGGCTGTCCCTGAACTACTAGCCTGAGAGCTCTGCTGCGCAGCAGATGCCATGGCTGCTGAAGTAGCGACCTCGCTCGCGAATGCCGTGCTTGCCTGTGCGGCCGTAGTCGTTCGCTGCTGCTGCTGTCTCTCTCTCAACTGGTGGAACAGGAACCTATCACCGTCCGGTGCTAATGCCAAGTGGGCTATAGGGCGTCTTGCCGATCGCAGGGTCCTATCGTCCTCTCTAGTGTCTCCCCTGCCTCTCATAGGCTACAACCTGTCTCTTATACACATCTAGATGTGTATAAGAGACAGGTAGTCGTTCGCTGCTGCTGCTGTCTCTCTCTCAACTGGTGGAACAGGAACCTATCACCGTCCGGTGCTAATGCCAAGTGGGCTATAGGGCGTCTTGCCGATCGCAGGGTCCTATCGTCCTCTCTAGTGTCTCCCCTGCCTCTCATAGGCTACAACGCTGTACACGTTCTGTACTGGAACACTCTTGATGCCTACCACAACATGATGTACAAACCGATTTAAAATAATCGGTGGCTACGTCACAGACTATACATTTGGGTCCAACAGCTAAGTTCAGATTCCTACAAACGAAACTATTTTGACTTTGACTAGATCACAAACAGAAAGCACAATGAACAGTAAACAGTTCTAACTATGCTCTGTCAGATGTTAATGGCTGGACATCTAACTAATCAAAATAAAAACAAAATCATTTGATTGGCTGTTAGCAGAGTGGAATCTTTTGATTGGCTGTTCGCAGAGTGGAATCTTTTGATTGGCTGTTCGCAGAGTGGAATCTTTCCCAAACTTATCACCTGGAATCTACCCCTCCCTCAGTTCTTCCTGAATGTCTCTTGTCGGCAGAGTCCGTGAGCAATCTGGAACAGTGTGCGTGTCTAAATATGTGCAGAGTCCTGCTGAGCTGGCCAGCCCTGCACAATTTTTATCCTTTGTGTCTAAAGTGGCCCACCCCTGTGCCCCGAGTCCTGCTGAGCTGGCCAGCCCTGCACAATTTTTATCCTCGCGTGCAGCGAGCCTTACACCGACGCCTGATCACGAGGCGTTTTTATGGACGGCCCCCGAAGGCCTCAGGAATTATTTAACGTCGCAAACAGGACGACGATCACAGCCAATGGAAGGTCCCCGCCGGTAATTATTTATAGACGTCCTGTACTCGTCTTTCCCATAGGGCTGGCCTGCCCCTCAGAACCCATCTATAGCGCAGCGAGCAGACAAAGGACAAAGCAGCAAAGCATGCGTGCTCTACTCCCGTTGGCATGGTGACCGTGACCCAGTGCTTCGTCCAGGGCCCTTCAGATAGCACAGCCCTCTCCTTCCAGATGAACACTGACGACTCTCAAGGTTGAGCGCACTCGACTCCTCACATGAGAGGACTCTCAAGACAACATACATCCTCACGGTAAGAAGTGTCGAAGAGGGTAGATAAGGTTAGGTGCAACGTACCTCATAATAGCTGCCCCCAACCACAGATATTCTCACCAGATGACCTGATGCCGACTGTGATGACCAATCGCTGCTTCGACACAACCAGCACTACACCGCCGTTCCACCTCAGCATTAATCGCACATCAGATAGTTCTCATCAGACTGCGAACACCCAATATACACCCCGTAGCCTTCCTGGTGATCCCCTCTCCTACTGGGTCGCCTGCTTGCCTTCGCCCTCCTCACTACACACTCCCTACGGCCGCTCGCCCAGCAGACCGCATGCATGTACCGCATAGTCAGAAGACAAGCGCCAGATGAGCACAACGTACCACAGCTCCGATACCAAATTGCAAGGAAAATGAGCGATAGCGAACTTCAGAAACCAAGCAGCATCATACACATGAGACCAGATAGTCGTGACCTCGAACCGAAAGCAGAATAGCATCACGAGTCCCACCAAATAAGAGCACAGCTTAAGCTCATAAGAGCACAGCAAAAGCTCATAAGTGACAATGTTCGAGTAGTCTCATCATCATCATCAAAGAACCAATGTCGACATCCTATCTAACGCCCTGCACCCAGACTACAAATGGCAGATCCTATCCAGCCTATCTACAATGCCGCTGGTAACGTCAACAGCTCCGCGAAGTACGGGCAGATCTTGGCCAATGCCATTCGCCTCAAGCACCAGTTTTGTCTCTCGTATCACTCACAACCTCGATCCCCCATTCACAGATGCCACGTGCACCCAAGGACCACCATGCGCCCCGTCCAGCATACAGCAGCGCAGCTTGGCTATGGCTGCCTGCTCCTTCCAGCTCGCCCGTGAGCGTGTGAGCGCTGGCCTGCGTTAGCGCAGCAGCACTGACGCAGCATGCAGCCAGTGCCCAAATGCCAAATGCGCGGGCAGGCACGTTCCTAAATGGAAGTGGCCTGCCTGCTTGCGTGCAGCCTGGCTGCGCTGGGCCACTGCCCAGAAGCTTCCGGTAGGCCCAAGAGAGGCTGAGCCC